TGAAGGAAGTTATTGTTTCAGTGTGTGACTGGAGGACTGGGAGCACTGGGGGACTGGGGGAGGGCAGCTGGGGCTGAGAGATTTTGTGCTCCTCACCTTGTTGAGTCACTGGTATGTAAACATCCTCTACGTTCAGGTCCTTCTGAACCTTTTGTCAGCAACTTCTGGATGAATGAGGTTTTTATTCACGTTTGGGGCAGAACAGAATCAAATGAAAGGGGAGAGTTTGGGCATCAATGTCAACATGACAGTGCTGTAACAGTGCTGCCTGAGCACTGTCTGCTGGCTGAGAGTTTCTTTTATTTTCCTCTGTAGTGCAGTATGGTTGGCCTTCACAGATAGTCCTGATAGTCCCACAATGTGGTGAACAAACGTGTCACCGGCATTATTATTATTAAACTGCATTCAGATTCAATCACTTGTTAACTGAAAGTGTGGAAACTTTTCCTCTGGTCCTCACATGTCTTGAAGTCGTGGTTGAATCAACAGCGAGCGGTACTTCTGTGAACGGGTCTGACTAGTAACCTCAGAGTCAGCGGGAAGCAGTAACACAGATGTAAGAGAGAGTGGCGGTCACACTGGAGGGCGGGTCTTGTTTATAAATAGCCTGCAGGTCTGTCACACTCTCATTCTGCTGCTGCTGAGGAATGAGCTGCTGTCCGTCAATGCGCTGCCTCATCTTCCTCGTGTTTGGCCCTCTGTGTGAGTAATTCTCCTTTTTCAACATCATTTACATATTTTGCCTTTTTAAAGGCAAACCTGTGTAGACAAAACTTTCACACAGCAAACAGGTCACGTTAGAGTTCATTGCATCAGCTGGGATGTTAGTGCAGAGGACTAACGTGTGTGTAACTGATCAGGTCATCAGGGTCACCTGGCTGCTCTGAACTTATCCTTTTAATGACCATACAACAGCTGCTCACAGACACACAACAGTCAGTGCAGATAGAAAGTGCTTCCTTCTTCAAAAAGGGGAGTCATACATAAGTCCTGCTCTGCTGTGCTCTTCCTCTGTTGTTTAAGACAGTTTTGTGTTTCAGTTTGACAAACTTGTCCCTGAGCCTGGCTCACTTTGGCTGTATGTTTTCAGTCGTTGCCCATCTGTGTTTAATGCACTGTCTTTGAGAGAGACTTAGCAGGCTGCACACACACCCTTCATACCAGAGAGGAAGAAACAAGTGCACAAAGGTGGCTTCGGGGAGAAATGGAAACAGTTTGTGGTTGGCAGCTGTCTGGAAGGGAAATGCTCACAGGACTCAGCCTGGGCTGAGCAGGCAGAGGGGAAACAAGGAGATTCCAGCTGACTCACATTTATAAAATGTGTCTTTTAGAGATAAGAGAGACTGTATCCTGTCAACACAACATCGCAACAACCTGTTTCATGTTCCTGCAGGTAACGTGTGTGAAATCTTTGGTGCTGAAACAAAAGCCTCACATGACTGTTTGTTTACGACCCGACTGTGCCTCAGAGCCACACGCTTTCTCCTTCCTCCATGATGATCTGTATGTACTGCAGTAGTTTCTGTCACATGAAGCTTTTATTGGAGCTGTTTGAAGCTTCAGCTCAGACACGTGACTGTAAAACAACACGACCTATTAAAAGTATCTGCATGTTCTGTCAGTTTCTCCGTCCTTTCTAAGTGTTGATGTCGGCACAGACAAACGTGTCAAATCCAACATGGTTATCGTGAAGATTATGTGCTTATGTGAGCAGGTTTAGCTTTAGTTAGTCCCAATTCATTAGTCACCATCCACCTTCCCCCACAGCAGGTGGACGTGGCTGTTACCCAGCTGAAGGTGGGGACAACGATATATAAGACAGGACAGAGACAGCGTCCAAGTGTGGCTCTGTCAGATTTCCTGTGAGTCGTGAACAAAGCAACCAAGAACCTGATGAGGACGCTGTCACCCTCTGGTTTTATGGTGTTTACAAAGTTTAATGTTGCAGTTTTGTTTTCTTTCTTTAGACCTTAAACCAGCCCTCGTCTGATCTGTGTGTAGCTACACATATGTAAAGTTCACTGCTGAATGTGCACCAACGTTTCTCTTTACGAGATAAAGAAAGTGGATTTAATCTGGAAACATGAGGCCAGTCTGTGCCTCAGCTGCAGCCGCTGCACGCTGTTCTGCTGTCATCCATCCCTCTGTCAAACGTTCACATCACGTTCAGTCATTTGGCTGATTGTTCATAACTGTAATAACTATAGTAAAGCCTGTGGGGCTTTTACCTTTGACCCTGTGAGCATGTATGATGGAGAAAACACTCAACATTATTGTTTCTCATTTTCTGCCAAGTCATTTCTAACATGCTGTAACTGCAGCCGACAGCAGGCAGCTTAGTCTAAGTGAACGAACCAGTTCCACGGTATTATTAATCATTAAACTCCAATCAGGTTCAATCACTTGTGAACTAAAAGTTTTGGAACTTTTCCCCTGGTTGGTCCTCACATGTCTTGTAGTCGTGGTCGAGTCAAAAGCGAGCGGGTGTAAACGGGTCTGACTAGTCTGAAAGAGTTCACACTCAGCAGGAAGCAGTGACGCAGATGTCGGAGAGTCAGCCTGGAGAAAAAAGGGAGGGTCTTAAGGTGGGTCTATAAATACCCTGCAGGTCTGTCACACTCTCATTCTGCTGCTGCTGAGGAATGAGCTGCTCTCCTTCAATGCGCTGCTTCTTCTTCCTCGTGTTTGTCCCTCTGTGTGAGTAATTCTCCTTTTTCATCATCATTTGCCTTTTTAAATACAAATCTGTGTTTGTCAAACTTCCACACAGCAAACAGGTCATGTTAGAGTTCATTGCATCAGCTTGGATGTTAGTGCAGAGGATTAATGTGTGTGTAACAGTAACATGTGTAACAGTAACGTGTGTGTGGTTATGCTCTGTGTAAGTTTGATTCCTGAAGCTTTTAAACAGGAGCTTCTGGCTGAATCAAAAAGCAGTCAACACAGAAAACCTGTGCTGGTCCTGTGTTGACAGTTCATTATAAGACCTGATCCTACAGTCAGGAGTGTGTCTGTCATTGAGGTCATGGTGTTGTTGATAACTATGAAAGGGACTTTTTATTTTCTCTATGCTGAGTTCTTCTGTTTGTCTTTGAGACGTAGTTTTGATCAGCATCTCTTCTCTCTGCTTCAGCTGTTTCATCTGAAGTATTAAGTGATGTGTTTCTCACTGGGCTGTTGGGCTGAGTGCAGGGGGTCTGCACGTGCCTCATCTGGGATCGAGCTAATTTGCATGCTAGTAAAATATTTAAGTCTGTCCACCCCAGCTAAAATTATACTTTGAGTTTGACTTCATTGGAATAATGATGGGAAGCCCAAACCTGTTGGGAGTCTTTAAGTGCTAACAAATGAAGCATCTGATCATAAAACAAACTGTTTTATCAGCATGAGGATTATAAAGAGGTCCTTGGGGGAAAAATGTACCCCTGTTTGAGAACACCTGTAAGACCCAGAACACACCCTGATAAACAGGTTTTCCTGCGTGCCACACCAGATCAGTGCTCACATGTGCACCCTGATTCAAGAAGTTTAACAGGAAATTCCCCTGTTTACACACACAGGCAGTCTAAAGACAGGAGGGCTGGGCTGCATTAAATGTGCAGCTCAGCCCTCACTTTGGTAGTTTTTCCTTTCCTTTGACGTTGTTATCTGTACGTAAAAACCACAGTGAGACTGAATGATGCTGATTTACTGAGAATGCTGCTGGAATTTCATGTATTTGTACGGATGGTGGATAAAATTCTGGTTATAAACTTACATTTACATCCGTTTAAATAAAGATTGTGATTAGAATCAATTCACTTTTACTTTATTTGTTTTGTTTGATCAAATTGATCCTTGAACATCAGGATTTCTTGGTAGTTTGTCAGCTGTCACGTTGTTGATCTTTATATACAGTCTGTGGTTTGAAGCCGCGGGGCTCACTGTTGTCACAGACCGCAGATGTAGTCAGTGCTGTCAGATTACTGACACACGGTAATACAGCTTTGTAACTATCCCGACTGATGAAGTGTGTGTCTGTCAGCGCGAAACTTTTACTGGGCACCAACAGTATCCGCAGGGCGCAGGGCGTGGCGTCACACACAGCAGGAAGCAGTGAGGCAAGAAAGTGACAGATTAAAAAGCGGTCCAATTCCTCACACGCGCCCATTCTGTGGCTGCTCGTGCGTGAGGATGCGCTGCTTGGTCTTCCTCGTGTCCGCTCTGTGTGAGTAACTCTCCTTTTTAATTATAAATTGCCTCCTTTGCCTTTCTAAGAGAAATCTGTGTTTGTCAAACTTTCGCACAGCAAACAGGTGACGTTAGAGGTTATTACATTTTGGATATTAGTGCAGATGACGGCAAGGTGTGTGTCGCTCCTGGAGGGACGGGAGTGCCGGTGACCGGCCTGTGCCGAATGAGATCCAGTCAGAAGGTTGAAGGCGCGATCAGCTTTTGACTTTGTTTAGTTAAAACTCCAGTTACAATTGTCGCTGACATTATAAATGTCTCTCTAAGACAGAGGAATGTTACAGTAGTTCTGTACCCATAGTTTAAGAGGCCAAAAAGAACCGGATTGGTAAAAATGTAGGTACAATATCACAGTTATAAAGATACTTGAAAAACTGGAGAGGGTCAGGGAGTGTGGGGATCGGGTGGGTGCCGTTTGGGGTCTGCTGTCTCGCTCGTTTGGGGCTGGGTCGTGCCGCCCGGTACCCTGCTTGGGCTTCGGTGTTCTGAGTCCTTCTCTCTACCTGCCCTTAGCAGTAGCGGTTTTTGATACGGGCGACATGTTGCCCAGGGCGGCATCACGAGCATCGGCAAAAAAAAAATAATGGTGCCCGCCCTCATGCCTGCCGACGTCACGCCAGGTGCACCTGCTGCAACACAACACAACGAGGAGAGGGCGGGGCGGCGGGAGAGTTGGACCGGCTGGAGCAGCGTCTAATAACCAACTAACAAAATAAAACAACACGAAAACAAACCAACAAACACGAAAACACCAGACATCCTGATACAGACTTATCATTTGCACCGATGTTTTTTCAAAATTCTATAAAGTGAGCGCGAGAGCCCTCGGTGCGCCTGCTCGCCGCTGAAGTCAAAGTAAACTTTATTGTCATCTCCGCTACAGACAGTCCAGCATATAGAGAGACGAGACGACGAGGCTCCAGTTACAGCTGTGCAAGTAAACAAACAATATATATAAGAAGAGTAAGAAAATAAATCTACACTTTAGGACTCGGGGTAAAGGATCAATAATAATTTAAAATTTATAATTTACAGTTTAATGATTTAAAGTCTCACACAACCCGTCGACAGGGGAGGGGCCGGCTGCTTCCAGATAGAGCACATTTCATTCATAATGTTGTAAATCCAAGCCCATCATGTATTCATGATTTGAATCCTGGGTTGTGCAAAAGCCCAGAAATAAACCTTAGACAAAGTGAATCTGTGAACTAAGGTGTGGGTTGTAGGGGATGGGTGTTCATACTGGAGGGCAAAATTAAACCAATGGAAGATGGACAAGAAAAGTTCAAAAGATCAGTTTAGAAAAAAAAGAGAAAAGAAGAGGAGGAGAAACCAGCAACTTATACAGGTAAGCAGATGTGTGATTGGATAATAGCAGGTCATCCTGGAACAATCAGAATCAGAATACTTTATTAATCCTTAAGGAAATTATGTGGGTTACAGTTTCTCCAAGAAGAAATGGTAAAAATAGTAACAGTAACAGACTAAACTCCAAACAATACCTTATGTTACAGCTTTTACACATTTAGGAAATAGCAGTAATATATACAGATCAGTCAATTATAAATATCAAGGATTAACAGAGGTGATTATAAATAAATATCAAGAAAATTGATAAGAATATTACAGAGTAATAAAGAGTGTGTGTAAAAAGGCTGTAACTACTGCAGTGATTACAGTGTGTTAGATGGAGGCGTTGTACAGGGAGATGGTCACAGGCAGGAATGATTCCTGTGTCGGTCAGTGGTGCATTGTGGGTACTCTCAGTCTCTTACTAAACGTTTCTCCTGTGAGTAGCCAGCATGTCATGGAGTGGGTGGGAGGTGTTATCCAACATTGTCTTTATCTTGGACAACATCTGCCTCTCAGACACCACCCTAACAGAGTCCAGCTCCATCCTCACAGCATTACTGGCCTTACGGATTCGTTTAGTCTGTTGGCATCTGTGACCCTCAACCTGCTGCCCCAGCATGCAACAGCATAGAGGGGCGCCAGAGGGAGTGTTCGCCCAGAGCGCCAAACAGGCTAGCACCGCCACTGGCCCTTAGCACGTCTGTGGAGCCAGGATGTGCTGACTTAAATTTCCGTGGGAGCTCTGGACACGGGTGCAGTACGCTGCTGTTCTGGTGTTTGTGACCTTGATGGAGGTGGAGATGTTCTCAGAGAACAAGCGCCCACACTACCTGGAGTTAGCTCCTCCAGCGTGCTCACCATGCCTGCGTGTTTGGTGTCGAAGCCTCAGCAGGCTGAACTTTAAAGGATGTGTTTATAATGATGCAACCTCACGTGTGTGTGTGTGTGTGTGTGTCTCTTCTTTTTGTTCTTTTCTTCTTTTTCTTTAAAAACCATCAGTTGTTCTGAGTGCACGTGCCTCATCTGGGACTGAGCTAAGTAGCACACTGGTAAAATATTTAAGTCTGTTCACTTCATCAAATAATGCAACAGTCAGAAAAGCTAAAATTATTCAAGTTGTCCTGCATACCACAGCAGAGAGGTGGTTTTCTTCTTTTATGTATTAAAGCCATGTAGCAGGAAATTCCCGTTTACACACACACACACTCACACACATGTACACACATCTTGCCTTTCTTGTTTTGTCTTTTACTGCACAGTGAAGTGCCACCTCTGCAGGGTGGGGGAGAGGTGATGGAGTAATTAGACTCCACCATGATGAGTCCTGATTCATAGTCGAGACTAAATGAAAATTAAAGTCTGTCAACAAATTGATGTTGGAAAAATAACCTTGTGGTTTCCATAGAAACCGTGTTGTTTAAATAGCACAGCAGGATTTTCGGTGGAGTATCTTCCAAGCTCTGGTTCGAGTTCACTCACACAGGCGGGGCTGAGTCATAACACCACCACTCTTCTCTGTGTCCCGCTCTCTCTCACAGTGGCCGTGTGTCGAGCTCGTGGACAGAGTGATGTTAAACCAGTGGTGGGGACGGGTGGAGGGGATGTATGCCTGCACATTGGAGCCACCGAGGTAGACAGAGACGCTCACATTGTCTGGTTTTATGGTCCGAAGAACAAAGTCATCATCAGCTATGATAATGGAACATATGACACTAAACTATCAGAAAGGTTCCAGCTGGATGCAAACGGCTCTCTGATGATTCGATCCCTCACTGCCAACGACAGCGGACTCTACAACTGTGAGATCTTCAGTAAAAATGGGTCATCTCAAAGCTTTAACCTGACTGTTGTGGGTGAGTAGTAGTATAGTCTCATAACACAAACACACTTTAGTTGGCGTCACATTATTTACCATTATTTCTTCTTATTATGAGAAATGTTACATCATGAATATTTCTGTGAAGGTTCTCAGTCATCCAGGTCATCGTAGTCTAAGGAGTGTTTTAAATTTAAATTTAAGGAGTGTGGAAAATACATTATTCGATAATAGGACTTTTATTAGTGACATGTTAATTTAGAAGCTACTGAATGTGCATAACTCAGGGCCTTACGAGAAACTAAGGAGCTTGGAAAGAAAAGCATATGGACTTCTTTAAGTTACAGAAGTCCATATGCTTTTCTTTCCAAGCTCCTTAGGTTACATCATGAAGTCACATTAAAAACCCATTCAGCATGGATCCTTCACAATAAAAGCATCAGCATCATTAACTCATTATCAGATGTGACAGTGACCCTGGGAAAGTCAGAGGCTGATGGGAAATTGAGTTTCATTTAAAATTTTTAAAATTTTCCTTTGGCCTCCTAGGACCTGGCGTCCACATATGTGGACATCACATTTTTCGATGTCTAGACCAAAATACTTCATATTTCTCTACAAGGGCCTGATATCCACTTACGAGGACATTACACTGCCACTGTTCTATCGAAATTTTAAACAAATGTCCTCATATGTGGCTCTCATTCTTGTCAGAAACAAAAATCAAGTGAAAAAAAAATCTGGTAATTATTTGTTTTTACATTCATTGGGTCCCAATCAAACCAAATAGCAACGAAAATGTTTAAATACACGCCATGAAAGACTTCAGGTCTTAGGAGGTTAATATTTTCAATAGTTATAATATTATATCATGCACAAAGCCATATTTGAACACTCACGATCAGCCAAATTTGTCTAATTTAATTACACACGTGAGCTCAAGAGGCGGGCGGCTGTTTAACAGATTCTTCTGTTTCACACATTCATTTGTGCACATTATTGTTCAGAGTGTGATTTCCCACCACCGTCACGCCTCAGCTCGCTGAGTGTTTCAGCTGCTGAGGTGATTGTTTGATCTGAGATATTTGAGTTTGCTGTAAATGAACTCCTCCTGTTTCCCCAGAACCGTCCAGTTATTCTTCAACACCGGCAACACCGACACAAACGTCAGCTGATCACAGCACCGCTGGTGAGTTTTCAGCGAGGGCTCGTTTCCATATATCAGTATGGAAACATCAGCATTTATTACTGCAGACATGGACAGTTTTTATATTTTTATATTGCTCTGGCAGAGACGAGCGCCTTTCTTAATTCACAGTGTCTATTTTTCGTGATGTACTTGGATTTCCTAATTATGTTTTTAGTTATAATATTTAATATTTCACATGAATTTCATCATTGAAATAAACATCACTGATTTTAGTGAAACTACTTGTTGTCTCCTTTTCGTCTGTTCCAGGTCCAAAACCGACTACACCTCCAAACAACGGGATACCCTGGATCGTTGGTGTTGCTGTACTGATTGTGTTGGTCGTTCTTCTCTGTGCTGTGTGGAAATGTCGTGAGCAAATCAAAGGTCAGTTTGAGCGTAAAAGTAAGAGTGTGGGTTAGGGTTAGTTTCCTGTGGGGTTAGGGTTAGTTTCCTGTGGGGTTAGGGTTAGTTTCCTGTGGGGTTAGGGTTAGTTTCCTGTGGGGTTACCTTCACCTGTGATGAATGAACTTTCTCACTATGAGACACGATGAGCTGACAGATTCTCAGTCTGTGTCACTGAA